ATCTGACAGACTCCCAGAGACGCAACGGCTTACCTCCACATTACTAACCCGGTCGCTCCACCCAACATAGGCTAAACTGCATAAAAACCGATAATCGAAAACTTCTAGTCGTCGGATATCTTCTACTCGCAAATTCAGCGTCTCACAACCATAAAGCGGGACTGAACGAACACTAGCACAATGTACACGACCTTTCAACTTTAGTGAAACGTCGCGTCTACGCCAAAGGTGTTTCAGTCCTGCGTATGCTGCTCGAGCCTTGGAAATGCAAGTGGTTACCTCGTTTGCTGCACTACCGTCACGCAACCACCAAAGTAGAAAAAGTAATCCACAACAACTATATCCTGGCCATTTAGTTTCAGACTGAGAGTGGACGAAACCCAGTCCTGCAACATCACTTTGGACTTTGAAGGTGCAAAGCACATACCGAATGTGGCCACTGCACTTGTTAATCTATCAAGTGCACTTTTCGCGTCCTCCATAGATTCGAACAGACAGATATCATCGGCGTACTCCAAATCGCATTACTGTTCTCCAGCTGTCCATTCAATACCTACGATATGGAGTCCCTTTAGTGCGCTTTCCAGTATTTCGTCTACGACGAAATTGAACAGGAACGGCAATAGAGGGCACCCTTGACGAACGCCGCTGTTGGTGACGAACAGCCTACTTAGATTGTTGTTAAGCCTAACACGACCGGAGGTATGTGAGTGCGGTGACCTCAGTAGGTTAACGTACTTCTACGGCATTCCTTTTGGAAGAAGACAGCCCATCAGAGCTTCGCGATCAAGTGAATCGAAGGCTCCTTTCAGGTCAAGGAACACTGCAATTGTTGGCCCACGGTGCGTATGACGCAGCTCAAGGATCTGATGCAACGTAAAAATTTGATCAATACATCCACGGCCAGGCCGGAATTCGGTTTGCTGTTCACGGACGTTGGTCTCTCTTAAAGGCGTCAGACATCGAAGTATAACCGAAGCTAGCACTTTGGTGACGGTCGGGATCAAACTTATCCCGCGGTGGTTTTCGCAATTGTTGCGGGATTCTTTCTTGACAATGGAAACGATCATTGATTCGCCCCAAGATGAAGGAATGTGCTCTTGCGTCCGAATGTTTCGCAGTGGGGTATTAATAGAGCTTACGAGGTTATCATCCCCCCCATCTTGAAGAGAGTGGGAGGGAGCTCATCAGATCCTGCTGCCTTTCCTCGCTTCAGAGATTGAATGCAAGACCGAACTTCTGCTTCCGTTGGAGGATCGCACAACTTTTCCCAAGGAGCTTCAGTCGGAGATGAAGCAGCCTGGTTAGCACTAGCCCAGCTGAACTGTTCGTTGAAGTATTCTGCCCAGCGATCGAGTCGTTGATCCCTATTGTGAATAGCTCGTCCCGTCTTATC